AATGACAGTTGACATGGAGATACCTCAGGGCTCTACTTTATCACCTCTCCTGTTCGTGATTTACATTGGTTCGCTACACATGGACATGGATGAACAGTTCATACATTCCTCATCATACATTGACAACTTCCAGATAATGGTAGCCAGTAACTCATAGTACAGGAACACAAGGCTGCTGGAAGAAAAGACCTATCTAATCAGGCAGAAGGTGGGCGCTTTGGAACTTTCTTTCAGTATCAACAAAACTGAGCTTATGCATTGGTGGACACCCAAGGAGCTAGGACCAAGACCTATGGATGAGGTGACAATGCAATCCCATGTTATGAAACCAGTGGTCAGGACGCTCAAGTGATTGAGCTACTGGCTCTCGGATAATACTAAGACATTGAATCACTTTATGAAAAGGCTGTCCCTAGCTCAAGCGGCCTTTTTCAGGATCAAAAGACTCTCGACACTGGGTAAAGGACTTTCCCATATGGGGCCCATAAGCTACTGAAGGGAGTTATTCTACTGACTTTACTGTATAGAGTAGAGATTCTTACCCTAATGGTGACAATGAAGAAGAAGATGCAGACATTTTGGAATAGGGTGGCGAGGTGCATTACAAACACATTCTTTGTGACCAACCTGACAGTACTATCAGCTGAGCCTTGCCTGGTACCCATAGGTATATATATTAAACAAATCTCACTCATGACTATGGTGTGGATCACTACAGCCCTGCCTGAAAATAACATTGTAATGGCAATACTCCCAGGGGGTTACCCCACAGTTTGGCCCTTTCGCTCAGAGTCAAACAGGAGGTTGGCATTTTCAAATAAGGGGAGTGTGTAGCTGAAGACTTGGAACTCATCATCCAGGTCCAAGATTCAGAGGCACCTCCCAATAGATGAGATAATGGCAAGGGTAGCTACGATTTTCGAAAAGTAACCCTTCCTTGAGAAACTGAACAGATTGTCTCCTATCACAGAAGAAGGTGCTAAGGGCTGGGCTGAGGTGAAGGAGAAAGTAAGGAAAGAAGTTCACAAGGAATGGGCAGGATCTGCCTACCCCTCATACTACAAATACAGGCCCCCTTACAGGAACTGCTGAAACTTTATACTCCTGCCCAAGTTTCAGACTGGCCGAATACACCAGATGAGGGTGAATAAAAGCTGCTTGAACATCCAAGCAGATTGGTCTGGTCAGGACCATGACCACACCTGTGATCAGTGTGGCATAGCTGACCAGACATTTCATCATATCATTACGGATTGTGCAGCTCTTGTGGCTGGGAGGGTTGGGGTGAATCCAGAGGTTTTTGACATAGGGCTGGAGTCAGCACTGTGGAAGGAAGGAGAAATAGGAGGAAGGCTGGTTAAGAGTTTTTCTATGTTTATTTCAAAAAATTTGGTCAATTTTCCAGTTAAGCCTGGAGGATTTCCTTTTATGAGGGGTTCTAATTTGGGTTCCTAAAAATAATTATTTTGTGGCCCTTTGGGCTTATGATGGATGATATTGATTTTTATTGAATATTTGTTTGTTTCAGGGGTTGAAGTTTCTTTTGTTTAAATTAGGTTTTCTAGCTATACTTTAGGGTACATGCCAAGTGTTTTCCTGTATTTAAGAATAAAACCAAGGATTTAACAAAAAAAAAAAACTGAAGGAGTTAATAAGAAAATACCAGAGGGGTAGTCCAGAACCTCCTAGGTAGTCCTGGGGTAGCCTAGAAGATGTTGAAGGATCTCTGGGAAGGCGAAATGCATAGAGACACAACTCATGCCCAATTGCTGTAAGACTATTGGAGTTATTTGAGAACTCTAAAAGTATGATTCTTATCATGGTAGGGGTGCCTTTGGGCAGTTAGCCAGGGGTAACACCTACTAGGCGGATTACCAAGGTACTCTAATAGGGGAGCTGAGTAGACTTTCCTATTAGGTAAAGGCTTGACTAGAATGAAGTAGAAGGTTCAAGTTCAGCTTGATCATGAGAGCTAGGTCTACTAAGTGCTTGCATAAATGAAATGCATATGGGTATGAGAGTTTGTTAATGGCATGTCTCATAAGTTACATGATAGTTTGCCACTAGCATGTCAATGATATGAAGAGTTTTTTCCTTACGATTGCATTAGAGATGTAGTGCTTGAAACACTTTATATCAGAAAGAGATTTAGCCAGAGTGTGCTGACATCTACAAAGGAATAATATGCTTAATAGTATGTGTTGGTCAGCCTAGAGGAGACAGGTATGCTCATTGTTAAGTTAGAGTAGTGATGGGTGAGAACTGTCAGTATATAATATTCTACTTAAACTATATGTGAGTTCTACTCTACCCTGGAAATCAACTACCTTTCAAGAAACTCACTGAGTGAAGCTGCAGCTCAATAATATTAAGTTTTACTGTTTTCATTCTTCTTTACTCTACTGTTGATTATCACTTTTGATCTTTGAGTCACTTCAGTATGGTTGTGAACTTGGGATCTATCTTCCCTTAGGGCACTCCTGTTACATAGTATTAGTTTTTTCATTTAACTCTTGACTCTTTTTGTTTCCTTTCTTTTATTATATTTTGCCTCTCATTACTTGTCTACAGTAGTAGTACTCTTTTTATCTACTACTATCAGTTCTTCCTGCAATAGTTTTCTACTGAAGAGGTTTTTAATGATACTATTGGGCTTGTCTTTTCTTCTTTTCTTTCTTACTTCTAGTCTTTTCTTTATCTCACATCCTATGTTAGTTGCTGATGAGTAGAGATATACTGGGTGCTGGATATTGGTGCTTCTTAAGGAACTTTTGAAGTAGTAGGAGTGTTGAAAATATCTGACACTAGTAGTAGAATACTGTTGCAGATACCTGACACTAGAAAGCACTAGTAGTATATATATGTAGCCTGCATGCATGTAATGAGCTCACCAGCTCTGAGAGGTATTCCCTCCATATAATTTCCTCTGTCTTCCCTTTCATTTCTATATAGAATTATCAATAACTATAACAAGTGACTATTATCCTAACCATCAATACAATTCACTTCCTCTTTTGCTATCACTTCTTCTACCAAATACCGTGTACAACATATTTGTTGTACTCAAATACTCGTCTCCTTTTACCATGTTTGTTTCACTCAACTAAACACTCAAACCAATCATTACCATTATTTTCTACATTTCAACTTCTTCCTATTTCGAGTGATATATTGTGACATGTTTGTCATTTTTGGCTGGATATCTAAGGAGGTTCTCTTCCCCTGTATCCATTAGCCTTCTATCTAGTATCTAACTTGCCCAATACCAGGTCAAGCTTAAAATTGGTTTACAGGAGTGCTGACATGCGAATTGGAAAGCGTGGTCTCTGATACTAACGGCGATAGTGGGTGGAGTGTGTGGGGCACACGACTATCTCTAGCTACTACTCGGAGTTGCAATCGACCTTTGACATCACAGCATTTTCTCCTTTCCCAAAGATTCCCATATCGAAATTCCGAGGGCTAGAACCAAGAATGGCCGCTCTGTTTATCTGGGGCACAACCCTCATACTTGCTGAGTTATTTACTCTTTGGGCGACATCGGAAAATGCGATTCCGGTTTTATATATAGGTATTTTTTATTACAAACTATCACTATACTCGCGCAGCAGACTTAAAGCTAGGCACAAAAGGAAGGGGTTCCCATACAAAAGTGTCCGACTTCAACTCGGCCGCGCGAGTACACGGGAGATCGTTATTTCAGACACTAAGGTACCGGTATCTCTGGTCATTGATAGCATCCTTGCAGTCCCTTCTGGCCAGTTTTTCCGAGCTGCTGATTCCATCCGAACCCCTCACACTTTCCACCTGCTTTCTTATTAGCACTTCTTTTACTGGCATTGATGAGTTTTCACGTAGCCCGCTACCGTACCCTTCCGTAAAAGTCGGATTGGAACTAAGGGCAACTAAGCCAACGAGAGAACACGAAGATCCCCAAATCGCCACACTTTAAGCAAAAGTCGAACAGCCGACTTTTGCGAAAGAATACGCTATTTGGGAAGGAATATCATTCTTCCAACATCTTTTCCCCACTCCCTATCTACTTGGGTACCCTTATCCTTTTCCTCCAATTTTAACATATGGTCCTATATTCGTGCAGTTTCACTTGCTGATCAGTCCACAATTCTTTGGGCTGTTTTAACAACCCAGTCCTTCAATTTACTTCTTTTCCTGGGTGCACGATATGTTACAGTCGCACCGCGTTATCCCGTATGGCCAAATTTTCTGGATTTCATCCGGTACAACGGGTGATACGGGACAGGGGAGGAAGAAAGTTGGTGATATGATACTTGTTTGTATAATACCATACATGCAGCACAAAATAATTCTTCTCTACCAACATTAGTGACTTTTGCCAATATTAATGACTTTTATCTCAAACAGTGGGGGGTCCACTTGGGGCATTGTCAGAGGATTGTATGGATCCTTCAAAGAGAGCAAGGATGCAAATGGCAAGGAAAGCTCCTCCAATGCTACCAAACCATTAATTATCGCTTAATTATTATCTTCATCCTTTATACCTCTTGCCCTTTTAGGAATAGTCCTTCTAAGTTTACTACAGAAATACGGTTCACCAGAAAGGAATTGTATAAGGACAAGGGGTAACTTGCATCCAAAGTCCATACGAATCCGAATGCCCCTGTTTTCCGGATCAACGAGCGCTTTTATATGGGAACTGGGAGTTGCCGTGGAGTTTTTACGGTTCAGCGTGATCCGGGATAGCGGGGTGCGACTGTACGTATTTTGAGGATATCAAAATTTCCTAACACAATTTCTGCATTGTCAAAGTTCTGCATGTTATATCTTCAAACCTCTAAGTTACAATATTTCATCCGAGAAGATTTGTATTCATCTATGACAGATAACGATCATGGGATTGCTGGAATACAGACCATGTTGTGAGATCGAAAATAGCTAACTTGCAAAGAAAAACAAGCGCAACGGTTCCCACACAACACAGAAGCCCGAAACAAGAGTAAGAATCAACAAAAGAAGAACTCCGTCAAGAACAGGATTCGAACCTGCGCGCCCGAAAGCATCCACTGACTAACTCCTCAAGAGTCTAGCCGGCGAACGTGTTAACCACTCCACCATCTTGACTGATGTCATTAACAACCACTTTACCACAGCTGAGCCATTGCAATTGTCAGCTTCTGCCTAGCACCGACCCGCCCCAAAACCCCCAGGGTTCCCACCTGACCTTCCAGACCCCAACGGGGCCGTGACGAAAACCAGGCCGTGATGAACAGGGGTCAGTAACAGGTATTTTTTTGTTACCGTACTTTGACGAACTCACTTTACTTGCCAAATACCCCTGTTCATCACTGCCTGGCTTTTGTCACAGCCCCATTGGGGACTGTACTGTATTATCTGGTTTTATCCGGTTTTCTGCCAAGAGTATTGTGACAATAAGTCACCATAATGTAGACTAAATAGGATTAGTTTATTGCAACATAATGTTTCAGCTAACCTTAATCTACTAGTAAATGATAAGCTAATCTCTACATTCATATCATACTGCATGCACCTTAACTAAAAGGAATATAATAACATGATTACCCAAACTATTGTTCTTTGTTTTCTTATCTTTTTGCTTTGCTTTTCCCTCCAAGTAACAGCAACCCATACTCTATTATACCCTTTATGAGTTAGCTCTATAAATATACAAAATCCTGGATACAGACCAGTTGTCACTAGTACTTCATGAGTATAATATCAACAGGCCCAAAGCTGAAGCCACTAGCCAACTGAGTATATAAGCCATAAGGTCCAATTAAGTGAGTCTGTAGAACCTATAGTCACTAGTACAAGATAGAAGTTTTAATGTTTCTAATGTACCATGATCAGGTTCTAGCTAATACCCATACTAGCAGTATGGAGTATAGATGCCCCATGAATGCTGAGGCAGTTTTATATTAAAAGATACCAGAAAATAAAATTCAAGAGTAGTGGGAAAAGCAGGATCAGATATTAGGTATGAAAAAAAGATTCCTGATGGAATACAAATGATATCTGGAGGTACACATAGCTAGCAATGGAAGAGGAGTTATTTTGAACTTTTATTGCTCAATAAGAGAGTCGTTGATTGGTTAGAGGAAGGTGATTTTGTCACACTGCAATAGCCCTATTCAAGAAATACTATAGTAGTACCAATCTCTACCTATTTGTCTTCTCAGTAGGGTAGTTTAATAGGTTTCTACAATGCTAGAATATTTCTTGCTGAGCTTTGACAAAAAAAGACTTCTAAGTTACCAGAAGAATATAGACAGCTAGTAGTTAATTAGCTACAGTTCAATAGATACAATTCTCAACTAAGAAATTTACTTGAACAGGTTGAGCTAGCCTTATATCAGATGCTAGATACTATAGATTAAGCAATATTCTCAACCTAGATGAAGCACTAGTTCCATTTAAATATTTAGATAGAAAAACCTACCACCTTAAGAGATTACAGACAATTAGAGAAAAAACAGAGGGTAGTGGTTGGGATAAGCATCAGGTGATACTTGTCCTCTATATCTTTATTAATAATATACCAAGAATCAAGCCTAGGTTGATCTTCCATGCTAAAACAGGGGATATCATCATATGAATGGAAGGTCATTAGTGCAGCAAGGTTGTAATAGTTGTATTCAATGAAATTGCATATAATAATGAAGAGCTGTTTATTCAGTTTATTCATGAAGAACTAATATCTGTGCTAAATATACCCTATACTATCATACAGAGTCACTAACTCCCACCTCTAGTTACTATGAATACCAGTAAAACTTACCTCTTTCTATCTCACCTTCTAATAATAAATATGGCAGTATTCAATATCACTCATTCAATTCTTGCAACTCTTTGAGAGAACAATATCATACTATCTATCCTTTATACCAGGAGAGTATATCAGATTGTTACAGCTACTAGATACTGTAGTCAATAAGCTATTTAAAGAGTATCTTATAGAGGAGACCGAAACTTACCTTAATGAGTGAGGGGCTGTTGAGGACATTGGAAAGTGATTGATAAGTGAGAAACAAATCACGGCAATATATGTTATTTCATGTAGCTAGAAAGCATTCTGTCAGCAGAAATAACTCTTGATTATTAAAGTATTCCGTAATGTTGGAGTTACCTTACCTATTATTGGGAGCTGTAATAACAAGATCAAGTTTACAGGTTTTACAGTTGATAATATGGATATTGTAAACTGGACCCAAGATCTTACTGTCCTGTAGTCCTACTAGGTATCTCAAAGCTATTGTGTCCTCCCTGATGAGATACAGAACATGATAGCCTTCACTTTATCTAGTAGTATGAAGGTTATTATCATGAAGTTAATCAGCATACTGATCCACTTCTGTCTCCAAGTTGTTGAGAGCTTATTGATTTCACTATAATAAATACTGCTACTTAATAGTTATTCATTGTAGTACTTTGGTTTTCTAAATTTTATATTATTATATATTCTTGTAACTTCAATACTTAGTATTAATCTTACCTTTGTAGACTTCAATATGTGTTATATTGAGGCCCAAAGTTCTGGTTTTCTTCTGTGATGTTTTTTTTTAATTTTTAATTCATTTCCTGGCAGTATAGCAAGTAGAGGATAAGTCAATAGTAGGTATAATAGACAGTACAGCCAGTCATCCCATCTATCCAAGACAGGGTGAGGATGACAAAAGACAAGACTGTCTTGTCCTTGGATATACTGGACAGGGTTGGCACTGTCTGGATGAGGTGAATAGCTATCAATGACTATTGACTGCAAATATCTTAAATTTGCTAATGTCTATATTTAGCTATATACTAGAACCCAAATAGGTTAAGATAAAAGATATAAAATAAAATAAAATAAAGTATTCTAATAGTAGACATGAAAGAAAAAAAAAAAAGAAAAAAAAAGGAAAAAACCCTATATAATGAATACTATGCAAAAGTATATTATTTTACAACTCTAGAAATATGAACTTCCTGTTCACAATCAAGAGGACCCTTAGAAATTTCCTCAGCTAGTTCAAAACTAATTAACTCAATTTTATTCCATGATTTTAAATACACTATAGCTTCAATTATCATATATTGAAGAGAGTTCTGGTCCTTAGTTATCGCAATTTTTGCACTAAGCAGATTAAAGAGAGTCATAAAATTAGTCAAATTAATTTTTGAATAATTGCTTCATGGATAATATTGAACTCTTACATATTTTGCCAGTAATAAGAGCAAAAAGAAATATACAAAACATACTTACTAAATACCCTTTCATATTCAGCTGATATTGCAGGAATTGAAAGTATATCTAAGGCCATTCTGGAAAATTTTAGAGATAAAGAATGAGCCATAAACTACCAATTGATAAAATTTTCAATAGGTAGTTCTCTATCATTTCTTGTTAACTAATGTAAGTACTGTTCCAACTCATGAGATCCATCCCCACCTGCCTCCATAAGTTGAACTTTTTTAAAGATTCTCCCTGTACCTACTGATATAGATTTTTGTAGAGAAGAAAAAGGGATTGCTGCAGGCTCTAATGAAAGTAGTTTGTAATTTTATTGCCATAACTGCTGAACTAACTTTATACCTACAGCTACCCAGTTATTCTGGTCTCCTCAACTATACTCTGATAAGTCAAAAAAGCTATCCATGTTTCAATTCAACATAATTGATGCATAAATAATCAGTGATAAAGTATTAAATGAATAATATTTATCAAGTTTATACCATGTGAGATTTAAAGATTGGTAAAAATGAGAGGAAGGATTAGGATATCAGGAAAGAAAAGATGAAATATGAGTCCTTATCACCTCAAGAGAAGGATAAATACCATAAAGAGCACCATTTAACTGATGACCTTTCAATAATAGTATTTTATCACAAAATAGTGCAAGGAACTCAAGAACTCTTTCCAAGAATACTCAGTCATCTGAAGATAACTTGTTTTTCATCAAGGACACACTAGGATCATAATTAATTGCACACTGAACCTAAAATTCTATTGCTTCTTTAAAGTATATTGCTCTCTTAAGAGTATTGTGATCACTCATCCAGCATGTGACATTTCCTAATATGAGTTCTTGTACACTAATTGAACTTCTATACATAGTATTTACTACTTGATTGAAAGATTCATGATATTGAGAGTGACCACATATGCATATAATAATATTTTGCATTCTTTCAAGAGGGCTAACTTTGAATCATAACTGGAGATCATGGTTTCTCTTTTCAATAGAATATTGTTCATCATTATTGCTGGCCAGCTGACTTGATTTCTTTCTGTAAAGAAATACCTTAATAACTAAATTCAAAACATGCTCATGGCATCAAATATAGCATTGGGTGATGTTAAGAGGAATGAGACTCAGAATATGTAATCAGTACTGCTCAGATAAATATCATAGTACTGTAATATTATTGGATGTATTATCTAAGCAGAATTATCCTAAAGATTCTTGAATTTCATAACTTATAATTAACTCCCATAGTCTTTAACCTTAGTTTTCTCCTATGTGAGCTCTAAGTAACCTTGGGAGGTACAAAAGAGCATGTTGAATAATACCAACTTGATACTTATCAAGCCAAAATGAGACAACACTAAGAAGAGAAAGGAAATTAGAGGAAGTTCAAAGATCAAAACTAACTAGAAGGTGATTAGATGAAATTACCTTCTCCTTTAGGAGAACTTGAAGTTTCAATTTATTTTGTGCAAATAAGTAAATTAGCCAGGTACTAATTATTGTTGAAGAGGTTGTTATGATATCAGTAAGATCTGTAAAGGAGGCCTGTACTGTACAAAGATAGCAAAAAATACTGTCTAGAGATGATGAAATAGATTGATTGAATGCAATTTGATTCAAAATAATTCATCAAAGGAGATTTTTGAAAATATCAGGATTAAAGCTGACCTGTGAAAATACTGTTCAAATAACTATATTTGTATCATGATAAGATTCAGTTGGTAGATGTGTAATTGTTTCCTATTGAAGTCCTTGTCAGTTAAACCCATGAGTTTATATGAGAAATCAATCATATTCCTTGTTGTACTGTCAGAATATGTATTTGCTGTTTCAGGATTAGGACCTTTATAGCTATTAGTAAAATGTAATTAATCT